AAAGTTGTCAAAAAGAAAAAAAAAAGTTTAAATGGGGGGTGGTTTGGTAAAAGGTTGGATACAATGAGTATGAGGGAGGGTGAGTTGGAGAAGGTTTAAGGGTAGGTTAGCGATTTCCCAATTATTGTATCCCTTTCTATCTTAAAATCTTAAAATAATTATAGAAAAGTTACAAAATATTTTTTCGATTATTAATCAGTGTGTAGGTTTAATTAGTTAAGACTTTGCAAGGGCATTTTTGGTAATACATTAAATATTAGCTTCAAAATATTAAATCATTGATGTTGATCTCCATCTTATAACTAATATATATTTTTAGGCTCGTAATTTATTACGATTAAGAAATGCATGTTCTGGTTATAAGATTTTATATATATTTAATATGAGATAATGAGAATATACTTTTCGATTTATATACATTCGGTTATTGAGTTTTTTTTGTCTATATTTGTTCCTTCGACTCGTTTAACTGTACATATCCAATCCTTATGACCGGCTACTCCAAATAAACGAAAAAAATGAATTAATGGGGTAATATATTTCTTATTTTATAAGCATTTGGTCTTGAATATTTTGTTTGCACCTTTAGTCCTTAATATTTTTTTGTTGCAAAATAAGTCGTTTTTTGTACACATTCGTACTTATGATCTGTTTCTTTAGATTTTTCTCACATCATCCTACGTTGGGCAATTATTAATGAGGTGTTTAGGGTTGTTGCTTATGGCCACCGCGACCTCAGTTGTTTGGTTGCTTAGGTCTTGTGTTCTGAACGTCGTAACTTTTTCATACGATCTCAGATTTTAACGATCTTTATATCCAGCGTTCGTATTTGTTGTGTTCTAAACCTCATAACTTCTTTATATGATCTCGGATTTTAACGATCTTTATATACACGTACACCTAGTGTAAGTCTCGAACCTGGGACATCTAATAAACAATGTGACATGCTAATCTTTGAGGCAATCAAATTTGTTAATTTATCTAAGAAACAATTGAATATTTCTAATGACATATTTGTTAAAAAAATGTATATTTGTTGATCGTTGTTCTTGGGTGCTACTACAAGAGGCATTGACTCGTGACTTCTCCTTAAGGGGCGGAAATGTGTTAGTTGGTGAGTCAATGACTCTCTTTGTTATGGCATAAAAACTTATTTAGTCGTGTCATGTCATCATAAATCATTTTAACATGTTACAAATGAATTAATAAATATGTCATTAGAAATAGTCAATTATTTGGTTTCTCAAGAAATATGTCATCTCATTTCTTTGGTTTCTTAACAAATATTTCATTAGAAATAGCCAATTGTTTCTTAGATGAATTACGAATGAATTAACAATTTTTATTAGCTAAGAGATTAGCATGTCTCATTGTTTATTAGATGTCTCGGGTTCGAGACTTACACTAATGGTATGTTTGGCACGAAGCATTTGGTAGCCTTTGAGAGCTTCTAGCTTCTAGCGTTTGATAAAACACTCAGTTTTGAACTGAAAGTCTTGTTTGACACTACAAGTTTTTTGCGTTTAATTTAAACAAAACGCTCCAAATCCAAATGCTACTTTACATAGTGCTCAACAAAACGCTACCAGCTACAAGCTACAAGCTACCAGCTAGTTTACGTCCTAACTGTTTTTCCTTCATTTTAAAATATATGTATACATTAAATACAACACATGAAAAAAAGTCCATCAACGAGAAGTCACGGTTTCACTATTGCTTTCAACGCCTCTTCATTTTTCATTTTAAGGGTCAAGAGCTAAAAAATCCAAAAAGTAATGGCAAATGAAGAACAAAAATAATATTGGAGCTAAACACATACTGAGAAGTAAATGTTTGGGCTAAATACAAACCGAAAAAATAATTCATTTCATCCTATTGGTGACAGACCAATGACTAAAAAATAAAAAGTTTTCAAAATATAACGGCATATAAAAAAACAAAAATTAGAGTTAAAACAAACATTGTGATTTTTGTGGCATTATCTTTTTTTTTAATATCTTTATTAGAACAACGTATTTTTATTACAACTTAAGTAAAATATATCATTATAGCAGTAACATTCAAATTAATTTCAAAATGTAATGTTATGACATAAAGACATAAATAAGATATTATATTACGTAATTTTTAGTTTATTTTATATAATTTTTATGTTTTTGTTTGTTTGTTTTTTTTTGTTTTTTTTATTTTTAGTTTAATGAACAAATATTATTAATGTTGATGAAAGGTTAAAAGGGTGAAAGGGTTAAAAATGGGTATTTTCTTGAAAGAAAATATATGAAAAGTTAAAGAGAAAAATGGCGTGGCTTGAAAGATGAATTGATGAAATGCATTCATGCTAAATAATCTAATATATTTTTTTATTGACAAATCTAATATATTTTTAATTTCACTTATTTCTAATAACCTTTTATATATATATAT